GGTAGGATCCTGCTTTTATCAAATCAAGACTTCCATGCTGTTTAGTTTTATTTCCCGTAGAGAATGCAGTCGGACAGGGAAAGACCGGGCCCTCATGCACCGAGCTGCATATTCCAAACATCGCCGTTAGCCACAAACTTAACTTTGGCTGTTAGCACCACTGTGAGCAGCGCAACATGTCCCCGAGCTGAGCGAGTGCAGTTTTCAGGGGTAAGTCATTGTTAAAATCCTCTTGAAATGTTCAAATAGACTGCAACGAGCAACAAAACCAACATGCGCTACTCCTGGTATGTCCGGATGTTGCTCGCATCATCCTTCTTACGTGATCCAGCCCAGGAATCCTCGCAGGAATGAGGCGGATGGGAATCAGAGGAACGTGGAGGAGATGGTCGACACATTTGCATCAAGACGTGTCTTAGTAGGACATGATGAGTTATTGCAAAAACAAAACGCTAAAAAAGTCTCAGTACCAGTGCAGCAGCTGATTTTACACAAAGCATTAGTGATGGGAATTTCGGCTCTTTTTAGAGAGTCGGTTCTTTTGGCTCAGCTCACCAAAAAGAGCCGGCTCTTTCAGCTCCCAAGTGGCTCCTCAAATTTTCTGTTGCGTAGAGTACATTTATAACCAAAATAATGCAAAACTATATGTAAAATGATTTACTAATGTAAAAAAAAAGCTATATAACAAATATTTATCATTTCTATGCATTTGATAACTGAACACTTTCAGAAATCTCCACTTTCTGACTGCTGGCGCTCATTTTCTCACCGTCTTTGTCGCACTCTCCTCTCTCTCTCTCTCTCTCTCTCTCTCTCTCTCTCTCTCTCTCTCTCTCTCTCGCCTTTTTCCTCCTCCTCATTCCCTCTCGTCTCCCTCCGCCCGCATGTGCTCTGCTGTGTGTCTGAGTCTGATCCTCCCTCTTCCCCACCCCTACTGCTCTGTGTGTGGACAGTCTGGACACGCAGTTACACATGTTGACCAATCGCCTGTAGCTTTCACCAAAGCACAAGGGGAGGAGACGGCTCCCAATGACGAGCCAGCTCCCGTCGTTCACTGCAAAGAGCCGGCTCTTAGAGCCCGTTCGTTTGCGACCGACACATCACTACAAAGCACCAGCTTTCCTCCATGGTGATCAAACTCCATCCTTTGTGGTGCTGTAACTTTCTACTCAGCAGCTAACATGCTGCTTGATTGAACTGACTTCAAGTGGAAACATAGACTAAATGACCACAGAGCCCTCATGTTTAGAGCAACTGGTCTCCCAGAACATCAGAGACTTCCTCTCTATAACCCCCAGCAGTTAGCTTTCACAGTAAACACAGAGGATGCTGCTGCTCTCACATTATATAAAGAGCTGGGTCATGTGTGGAACAAAAAGGGCCTTGTATGGACGCTCTGTGTGGAAAACAGCTCAGCCGTCAACACAATCAGGTCAGACATTCGGATCTCCAAGCTGCACCCTCTACAGAGCCAGAACACCAGGGTTCTTGTGATTAAAGCCCAGCAACGATCACTCTCTGTTTAGCATAACTGTGTAAGTTGGTGTCATTTTACTTTTAAGTGTGCAGACATATTAAATGTTTTGTTCGTTCAAATGAATCTCAGTATGCTTGTGTACACATGTCAGAGTACCCCACAATGTTTTCCTTTTAGCTATCAGGCTCTTGTGGAACCAACTCCCAGCTTTAGTCCATGAGGAAGACACCCTGTCTACTTTTAAGACCAGGCTTAAAACATTTGTATTTGATAGGGTCTATGGTTAAAATCCGACGTTAGCCCAGACCTGGACAAGTGGGGGAGTAGAGGGAGGGCCTCCAACATGCCTCCATCTAAAAGGCTAGGTTATCTCTGTAGTTATGCTGCTATAGGCTTAGATTGCTGGAGGACATGCAAACCCCTCTCTACTACTTTCTTCTACCACTTCTCTCTTAAATGCATAATTTCCTGCTATTTCAGCTGTTAACTTTGTTTTTTTCTAAGTGTTTTTCTCCCCAGAAGAAGCTACAATGGTGCTCTGCTGAGCTGTGGTGGCCTCATGGAGGGGGCACCATCTTGAACACTGTTGCTAACCACTTAAACATTCTCCCTCTCCTGAAAATAACATTTTACTTTCTTTGACATTGAATGTGCTACTACTAGTTTACCCTTTAATTATAGATTCACGAGGATAAATACAATAAAGTTTATTTCTCACCAAATAGAATATTTACTAAGACAGGGGTGTCAAACTTAAATTCACACTGGGCAGAAATGAAAATCTGGGATGAAGTCGCGGGCCAAACTTATAGGAGACATAACATGAAAAACCCACTTTTTTTAATCCATTAACACAGTGTGTTTCACATTTTAAGTGTCTAAGTGAGCAAAAAGGCTTATATTATTCACTGGAGTTGCTATTTAGATATTTAATAATTAAGTTTTGGGCATATTTGTCCACCCGTTCAGTTTTTCAAATTATCTATTATGTAAAAAAATTATTTCGTCAGGATAACTACCAAATATGGTAATAGCCCTCGGCTAAACACAGAGCCAAGCCACCATTTTTTCTTCTCGCTAAGATTTTTTGTAGTCCTATTGGAAAAATGCAGAATGTCTGGTTATTTTAGCCACACACAGCTCAAAACTGTTCCTCGTTTTATGGAAGGGTGGTGTGCTAGTATTTAAACCCAGGAGCTGATGACACAACTGCTAAAAAAAAAAACACAGAAGTAGTGTGTGTGTGTGTGTGTGTGTGTGTGTGTGTGTGTGTGTGTGTGTGTGTGTGCTCTGTCTTCTCGATCCCCAGTGAGTCATGGTGGATTGCTGCTTATACTGAAACAGGATCCTCTGGAGGTTTCTTCCTGTTAAACGGGAGTTTTCCTCTCCACTGTCGCTGCATGCTTGCTTAGTATGAGGATTGCCGTAAAGTCACTGACACTCGATGCAACCTGCTGGGTTCCTTATGTAGGAAATCTTTAATTGATTGACTCAATGAACTAACCTGCAGTGGAATGTTTACTGTGTGAAGGTCCTTCAGACGACTCTTGTCGTGATTTGGTGCTACAGTATATAAATAAACTGAACTGAATTGTGTTGTACGTTGTTATTCGATGACAACAATGTTCTATTCTATTTTAGTCTTGCAATCAGCTGCAGCGTTTAGAGGAGATCTCTGAAAAATATATGGATATGTTAAAAGTGTACGTGTTAAAAATGGCCATTGGTAGATAGTGATAATGATGCAGATTATATTGAGCATCCTAAACTAAATACATTTTTGATTAACTTGTTTTTTTATGTCTTTCTTTTTGACAGATTCCATGAAGCTGATATCAGAACAGAAGCTCTGTCCCAAGACTATGACTACATGGATGACCTTCCTCACACGTATTCCTCACGATTCAACCCCTACAGAGAGAGTAAGTATCTCCTTTACAGCTAAATAACGTGTCAGTATATAAATGGTCATTGTTAAGCTTCCATTCATCAATAATATTGACTGATCTCCTCAGGTAACATCAGTTCTGTGGAATTCTCTCTGAAGGAAGTGGATATGAGTACAGTAAGCATCAGCATCACTGATCCCATCACCTCCATCCATCATCAAGGGAAGCAGCTAACCATCAGAGACATTCTCAAAAGTGATCTCAAGTACAAGATCCTGTACTACAAGTCTGGAAGTACAAGAGAGGTATGCTATTTATTCTCTGTGATCATGGACTGTTCGGCCTCATAGACAGGGCATATTGTAATTCAACTTTAAACGGACAAATATTTCTATAGAAATACAAATTTATAGTAATAATTATCCCCAGCAATCTCACAGCCAAGTTTATTTCCCCCAGCAATATTTAATTTTTTATTTTTTACCGTGTCCTGTCTGGCTGTTCAGCAAACAGAATTGATGTCTGAATGCTGGTGACACGCCTTACAGATTTACTCTCAGGTGGAGCATCAAAGCGTCTGCTTTTAATGTCACGCCTGACACTTAAAACTTTATTGTTATTGTTGTTGAATGCTTTGTAATTCCGACCAGACACGGAGACAGAGGTGAAAGAGAAAGGAAAAGACAATAATGAACAAGAGTCTGCTTCTAGACCTGCAGAAAGAGAGAAGACACCCCCCCCCCCCCACAAAAAAGAAAAAAAAAAAAACAAATAAATGGGACACAACAACAATACAACAAGATCCAGTTATCAATGTGGCTGGTTAGCTCAGCTGGTTAGAGCGTGGTGCTAATAATGCCAAGGTCATGGGTTTGATCCCCATACGGGCTATCAAACCTAGACTTTGATAAATAATTCTGTTGATTAAAAATCAGAAGCCAATATTCTTGTTCCCCTAGCAATATTAAAACAAACTGACGTTCTCGGCTTTGCTGCGTTATCTGGATGCCCCTGGTGCGTGTGGCAGAGTGTGAGACTTGAGGTGATCTGTATTGGACCAGAAGAGGGCAGCAAAACATCTTAGATGCATCTAGCTTGCAGTGTTGGGAGAAACGTGGTACAAAAGTAATTAATTACTGTAATGCATTGCATTTTGCTGTAATGTGGTAATGTAAGGCATTACAGGGAAAGAAAATGGTAATATTTACTCGGTACAAGTGTCAGTAACGCGGTTATTACAACGCATTTTAAAACCCAGAATCAAGATGTGGATTTCCTAAAAATTCAAATTGCTTGAAGAATGAAAAAAGATCCAGTATCCACATATATGACGTCATTTATGGACTCAGCTTTGCGGGCATTCTATGAGCAGAGAGGACGCAGAGGTAATGACACAAATACTCCAGCCACTCCTGCGCGCGGCCGCTGCTATATTCACAAAATCGCTCCACCGAAACAAAGTAATTCGTTTGCGATCGTTTATATCAGCCCATATTCTCTGGTACTTCATGTACTTTTCAGCTGAGTTCGTAGCTTGACATTCCCCAAGGAAGAAGAACCAGATTGTTTTACCGTCTATTTCCTTTCTGTGGCTAATGCAGGCAATGGGGGTTGAACAACTTTTGAAATGAATTTTCTGACATTTTAGCAGAGTTTCTCCTGAAATATGATAGAGTGATTATCCTTGGCGATTTGAATATTCACATCTGTTGTCCTGCAAAGCCTTTGGTGAGGGAGTTCATGGACATATTGGACTCCTTTGGCCTCCAGCAACTGGTTAAGGAGTCTACCCATGATCGCTCTCACATCCTGGACTTAGTTTTATCTATTGGAATATCAATTTCTGATCTTTCAGTGAACCCGGTTTGTTTTTCAGATCATTTTCCAATTATTTTCAACATCTGTGATTTGACACCTTCCACTGTAAGACATCAAGCACGTCATTACGTCAGGTGTATTTCGCCATCTACTTTCACCCTACTGTCATCTGGTCTGGCCGATGGCTTCTCAACCATTTCACCCAGGTCTAAATCCATGGATGTAGATGATATGGTGACCACCTTCAATACTGTGTGCTCGGCTGCTCTTAGCTCTGCAGCACCTCTTAAAATCCGGAGTAAAAAATCTGTCTCTGTCACATTTCACCTGTCCTTGCACGCTTGCACTGGCTGCCTGTTAAATATCGCATCCAGTTTAAGGTTGTGACCTTTGTTTACAACATCCTGAATGGTCAAGCCCCTATCAGAACTGCTTAAGCCTTATGCTCCAACCAGAAGCCTGAGATCGGCAGATCACTTGCTTTTGTGCATCCCAAAAATGAGGTATAAATCTCGTGGGGAGCGGGCCTTTGCATTCGCTGCTCCTAAACTTTGGAATGCTCTCCCCCTTAAGCCTGATTTATGCTTCTCCGTCTGCGTCAGTGCGGAGACACGCAACGCCATTATCCGTCCTTGCGTAGGGCACGCAAGTACGTACGGAGTCGAGCACTTTTTTAAACATCCGTCTAACGAGACGGATTACGCAAGCTTGTGATTGTCAGGATGCCGCTGTTGTTTACAGCGCCGCCATTGCAAAGAGAGCCGAGGATAACTAGCGGCAGACACGGAGAGGCTTCGAGAACACCTCACGAAAAAACTCTAAAAATATGAACATGACTGGAGGAGTGAAAAGATGCGCAGCAAGCGTTTTATTTGTGGACGGAAATGACAGGAAACGTTGGTTTAGAGGTGGGGAGCGCATGAAGCGGTGGGAGAATGAGAACAGAACAGCGCTGCGCCCTCTGTGGTCCTGCCGGGCAATTGCTTTGCAACACTCTCCAGGAGACGGAGAAGTAAAAGAGCAAAACGCTTCCGTCAATCCGTGCGTGTCTGTCCCTTGCGGAGCTGACGGAGAAGCATAAACCAGGCTTTAGTGTTGGACAGGCCCCAGAACTGGGTCAATTCAAGTGTGTACTGAAGGCCTACTTCTATCATTTAGCTTTTGAGCAATGACCAAGCTTTTATTGTTTTTATTGTGACTCTGTTTTTTACTCTAGTATGTTTCTTTTAAATTTTTAGGTTATTCCTTTTATCTCCTATATGATTTTTATCTTGTTTTCATCTTGGGGTTTTCCTTTTTATTACTACTGTACAGCACTTTGGTCAGCTGTCATGCTGTTTTTAAATGTGCTTTATAAATAAACCTGGTATGGTATGGTATGGTATGGTATGGTATGGTATATTGAGCCTGAATGGGAACTACGAGTGACCATTCATCCTTTAGAAAGACCACAGTTTCTCAGTGACCGCTTTAAAATCATTTAGGGACCTTTAAGATCTTATAAAGATACAGCAGAGATAATATACAAATAGTAGAGTAGATTAGGAAAGGAAGTACTTCATTGGTCTCCTGAGGGAATTTATTGACAGCAGCACACAGGCTAGAAAAACAAGTTCAATAGAAAATACATGAAACAACAGAATAACAGTTTAGTGAAAATTCAGTCTGCGTGTTATGTAACGAAGGCAGAGAAAACCATCAAAATTAAAATACTATAGAGTAGTATAATTAGCACAACATACTATAAAGATACCATGAATATATTATAACGATAATAAAGAAGCTATAAAGATACAAGAAAGATTATTTTCGCATTCAACTATCAGCCAAGCTAAAGGCAAGGCAGCTTTATTTATATAGCACATTTCACACACAGAGACAATTCAATGTGCTTTTCATTACCAAGAACATTAAAATCAATGTAATACAATTTAAAAATGAAAAATAAACTACGTTAAAGTTAAGGGGTGAGCAAACACAGTGCAGAAGGTGCAGCATAAGAACATTTATTCACACATTTGAGGTCATGAGGAAGCTGATTCCATCTGTGTGCAGCATAGTAGCTAAAAGCAGCTTCACCCAGCTTGGTTCTGACCCGGGTTCTACCAGCTGACTGCTTCCTAAGGATCTCAGAGTCCTGCTGGGCATAAATACCTGAAGGAGATCTGATGTGTACTCTGGCCCAATGCCACCCTACCCTAAAGCAAAGGGGCAACAGTGGCACAGGAGTTAGGTGCTCGCCCCGTAATCAGAAGGTTGCAGGTTCCGCTCAGTCTGTTGCTGTCGTTAAGTCCTTGGGCAAGACACTTAACCCCCCTCTCCTGCTGGTGGTGGTCAGAGGGACTGGTGGCACCAGTGCTTGGCAGCTTCGCCTCCGTGCACCCCAGGACAGCTGTGGCTACATCGTAGCTCATCCCCACCAGGGTGTGAATGTGTGTGTGAATGGGTGAATGACTGATTGTGTTGTAAAGCGCCTTGGGGGGTTCCAGGACTCTAGAAGGCGCTATATCAAATACAGGCCTTTTTGCCATTTAAACATGGGTCTAGAATGCAGTGTGGATGTGGGGTAGGTGTTGGGTCGAATTGTACACTTTTTCCAGTTCCCTCAAAGGCCGTGATGTTCTAGAAGTCAAGGCAGGAGGAAGTTGATGCTTCAGACACATGTTAATGCGTGGCTCTTACCTGACAGAGGGAAATCGTGTCTGACTCCAGTACGGCTACTGTGTCGGGGCTAGATGCAGGTCAAAGTTACTGCTTCATGGTGACCGCCTACATCCCCTCCAGAGCCAAAGCCAAGCAGCACGGAGCCTGGAGCAAACAGCTGTGTAAACAGGGAGACACACATCTCCTGCAAGGTGGCTACAGAACTCTTCTTGTCCTTTAATACCAGCTTCTTTAAGAAAACCCAGTTCTGTTTAGAAACTGCTCCTTGTGTAAGGTGTCTGATTTTGACTCTCCTTCACTTATCTAGCTTTAAGTCCTGGAGCATGGGCTGGTATCATCTTCGTCTCACTCACAGTCATCATCATCACTATCTCACTGACTGTCTTCTGCTGCCGAAGAAACCACCAAAGAAACACAACCCTCCAAACACCCCAGACTTCAACACCTGTCTAGGATGTGAGCTAGAAAAATATTCTACAGGTGGCGAGAGAGGGCCATGGACCTTTTGTGTGGTTGCGCTCTACGGCAGAGGTATCCACGCTGATACGATCACAGTTAATCACAGTTAGTCATTTCAATCAATAATCTCACCACCCTTATTAAGATTCTTAAAGGTGGGGAACACTGAAAAACCATTTCTGATTTTATTTGGTCACTCTGAGTTTTCATGCAGGCTGAACATGAAAATAGTCTCCTACACCTATCTCCTGCTTCAGCTTCTGATAGAAAATAAACGGTGAAACTCTAGGATTAGAAAATCCTGACAGATCTACGTCACACTGTCACTTGGCATTCGTGGACTTCATCTTTACTTGTGATGGAAAAGGCTGTTGTTGGTTTAACGTCCAGGAAACAACAGTAGAAGCTAAGCATTAGCATTAGCAACTCCACCATACAGCAGAACTCCTCCAGACTTGAGTTATTTGTGGAGATAAAACATCCATGTTGCGTAGCAAACAGAGTCAGTGGTAGAGTTGCATTGTTGTCAACCAATCAGAGGTGAGATGTCCTAATATCAGGAAATGAGTCCACATCCTGCCGTCTGAAGTTCAATTCTCATGTGGCAGCTTTCTAGTTCCTGAAATGGGCGCACCGGAGCTTTATTTCCCCAGAGTACTTCTTACAAGGCATTCATCCCTACTAGAGACCACTGCAGATTCTTAATTAAACCAATGCTCCAAACCTTTAAAATGAGTAACTTTATGCCACACGATGCATTCATGTGTAGTCAGACATTTAAGACTCATTCTTGCAAATCAATGCCACCTTTTTAGATCCACTCCAGGATGCGGATAGATTCAGCGATGTTTTCTGTTGTTTTCCGCATCAGGAGCTGATCTTCTTGGAGGTTGGTTTACATCCTCTTGTACGACCAGAGTAGTTCTTCCACTACGCCACTACGACAGAAAGAGAAAATGCGACACAAACTATGGCCGAAATCACCTTCAGGTTCTTCAGTAGGCTCCAAATGGGTCTGGTCTAATGTCAGGTGTAGAGAAACATCCAACAGTCATAATTGTCAAACAGAAACAACATTTAAAACTAAAACAGAAAAAGTGAGTCCATTTGATGGTCAAACAGAACCTCTACAGCAGCAGAAACTCTGACCATTACTCACCAACAGAACATTCGCAGTGAAGTCAGAAACCGTTTTATCAAATCGAATCAAATCAACTTTATTTATATAGCACTTTTCATACAAAAAATAAATAAAATACAACTCAAAGAGCTTCACAGATTAAAATGGCCCCATAGATCCCATATTCCCATCCCAGCCCCCTCCCCAAATATAAAACAATTGACAATTACACTTCCCCTCCTGCAACCAATTTCCAAGGTGAACGCACACTCACCACACACACACACACACACACACACACACACACACACACACACACACACACACACACACACACACACACACACACACACACACACACACACACACACACACACACACACAGGCATGGACGTAATTTTCACTTTAGAAGTGTGTGTGTGTGTGTGTGTGTGTGGGGGGGGGGGGCACGGGGGGGGTGTATCTTTACAGTATGCTCTAATGGGAAACAGACTTCAACACAAACGGTTATTTCCCGCGTGGTCCTAAAGCTCAACCAGTGTCAATTTAATGTAGCGTAATATTGTTTTTGGATGGTAAAAAGTGCAGGGGTCAAAACTTGACTTTGGAAAGGGGGGGGGGGGGGGGGTGTGTGTGCAAATTTACGTCCATGCACAAACGTGAACAACAGAGTAAACAATAGGCTGAGTTCGGATGGGTCAGGTAATGGACGACACATCATCAGCTGCCTCGACAGCAACAGATCCACGGCAGCAGCCCAGACACCGGCCCATGACGCCCAGGGAGGGAGGGCGGAGACCCCCACCACTGCCCGGGCACTACCCGAGGAGCGGCTCGGCCGCCGCCGCCGACCACCAGCCCCAAGGCAGAGGGCTCCGCAGAGGAAACACTGGAGGATTAAAATATATAACTGTAAAATAACAAAAGCTAATATGGATAAAAAGTAACTGATACAAATTGATTATAAAGATAGTAAAAGAAAACATAATCATATAAAAACACTAAGATGTAAATAAAATTACAAAAGTAAGTAAAAGAGAGAAATAGGTATGTGTATGTATATATTTAAACAAATATGACAGGTGATACAGTTAAACAGACTAGATAAATAGTAATTAGTTAAAAGCTAAGCTAAAAAGGTGGGTCTTGAGCCTATTCTTAAAAGCCTGGACATTCCCTGAGGTCCTCCGGCAGCCCGTTCCAAAGGCGAGGGCCGTAGTACTTGAAGGACGCCTCACCGTGGGTGTGTGTCTTAACTTTAGGGATAACTAGAAGACGGCTGCCAGAGGAGCGCAGAGACCGCGAGAGTTTATATAGTCAAAGCAGTTCTGAAAGATAAGAAGGCCCAAGACCATTATGATACTTAAAAACCATTAAATGAACCTTAAAATCCATCCTGAAACATATGGGGAGCCAGTGCAGAGACCCTAAAACCGGAGCCATGTGCTCCCGCTTCCTGGTCTTCATCAGGACACGTGTTGCTGAGTTTTGTAAAAGTTGTAAACCTGAGATGCTCTTTTTGGGAAGACCAGAAAGCAGGGCATTGCAGTAATCAATTCTACTGGTTATAAAAGCATGCATGAGCGTCTCTGCATTGGCCCGAGAGAGAATAGGGCAGACTCTGGCGATATTCTTAAGATGGTAAAGACCTATTTTTGTGATGTTTTTAATGTGGGGGATAAAAATCAGCTCAGAGTCAAAAATAACACCCAGATTCTTCACTTGTAGTGATGGATAAAAAGACAGTGATCGTAGTTTAGGTAAAAGTTTCTCTCTCTGGGTCTCAGGACCGATGACTAAAACTTCAGTTTTGCCTTGATTGAGCTGGAGAAAGTTTTCAGTCATCCCTGATTTAATATCTAAAATGCAATTAAAAATTGTTTCCATTGGCTGTGCGTCATCAGGAGACACGGAGATGTACAACTGTGTATCGTCAGCGTAACTGTGGAAATTCACCCTGTGTCTCCTGATGACGCTGCCCAGAGGGAGCATATAGAGGTTAAAAAGCACTGGGCCCAGAATTGAACCCTGAGGCACACCGCATGTGATGCTGTAGACCCCAGAGGAACAGGTATCCAAACTCACCATAAAAGTTCTGTCTGTGAGGTAGGAAGTGAACCAACTGTGAACAACACCAGAGAGGCCGATCTGTTTTAAACGGGTTAAAAGAATAGTGTGGTCTACTGTATCAAAGGCAGCGCTTAGATCCAGCAGAACCAACACTGTCGCCCTCCGGGCATCATAATTTGTTCTAAAATCATTTAAAATCTCCAGAAGGGCCGTCTCAGTGCTGTGGTTCACCCTACAACCAGACAGAAATTTCTCTAGGACATGTTGGCGGTTGATAAAATCATTAAGTTGTATTAAAACAAGCTTCTCTAAAATTTTAATTAAAAATGGTAAGTTGGATACCGGTCGAAAATTGTTAAAGTCATTAAAATCTAAATTGCTCTTCTTCAACAGGGGTCTGACCCGTTTAAAAGCAGCAGGAAAGACCCCCGTCTGAAGGGAACAGTTCATCAAAGTTAAAATCTCATCTCTAAAAGAGTCATACAATTGTTTAAAAAACCTTGTGGGGATAGGGTCCAGAACACACGTGGTAGGCCTCACTGAGGAGAAAACTTTATCAATAATCTCAACTTCAACCAAGACAAAACTGTCCAGTGTTTCCTCAGACAGACACACACTCTCAGATTGACCGGGAGCAGCATGACATTGGGAGGATAAAATGTTACGTCTGATGGTGTCTACCTTCCCTCAGAAGTGGGCTGCAAACTCCCCACAGAGAGCATCCGAGGGGGTTTTCTGGAAAGAATTAAATTCACGACCCAAAATATTTGTAATTGTGGAAAACAGAATTTTGGGATTATTTTTGTGTTCAGAGACGATTTTAGAAAAGTAATTATTTCTGGAATTTCTAACTGCTTTGTTGTATGATTTTAATAATTCAGTGTATATTTGTTTATTAATTGTGTTCTTATATTTCCTCCATTTTCTCTCCGTCGCCCTGCAAGATTTTTTCAACATTTCATGTATTTGAGTGCGGCGTGTGTGTGTAGAAAACCTTTATTTTTTATTTTTTTGGTGCGGCTTATATTGAGGTGCGCTCTATAGTCCAGAAATTACGGTACTTGGGCCATTGTTGATGACGTTTCACAAGTATGTGAGTACACAAGTGCAGACAAGTATACATATAGAGAAACGGCATCTGAATACAATTGTCTTTTCTTTGACCTTCTCAGTATTTCATATGGTTCTGGAGCCGTTCTGGTCCAGTTTTTATTTATTTAATTGAGTTTAACAGACATTCTGTTCCATCAGCTCTTGTATTATCCCTTCATAGTCAGGTTCTGGTCTGGACTTTGGATCATTGCAGAACCTTGATTCTTCTGTTTGTCAGACATGTGTTTGGATCATGGTTCTGTTTTATGACCCAGTTTGGTCCAATCAGCTGTCAGTCAGATGAACTCCCGTTAGACTCTAGAACATTAAAATCCAGTTCAATTCAATTCAAAGATACTTTATTAATCCTAGAGGGAAATTAGAGATTTTGGTACCAAGAGGTTTTCATAGTGGACTAGTGAGTGCTGCAGCTATAGGATCAGCCCAAACCATCAGTCCACCACCATGCTGACTGCCTGATCAGCTGTTTGTGCTGATTTGGTTTTCTCCAGATAAAGAGCAAATTGCAGGTTCATTTTTTTTTCTAAATCATGTAAAACGCTATACAAAAAAATACCATTTGAATGCTTATTGTGGATGTTTCGTTGTAAAATACATAACAGCAGTTTTTCTAGTAAAAGTGGCTTTTCTCAGCAAAGCTTCTAAAAAGGCTCTTGTTGTTAAATCTGAACCTCTGACGTAACCAAAGGGAGTTAGAAGCTAGGAGCTGCCTCAGCTCCGGAGCTGAGGGCTCCGCAGACCCGTAGCGGGGTTAAAAAAATTAAATACGGATTTCTGGAGCTCAGATCATCGTCAGAACCACCAGAAGAGATACGCTGCTCAGCGGGCCAGCTGAATTCCGGGTCGGAACCGGATCAGAACCGCCGCCTGGACCACCAGGAGAGGATGCGCAGCTTTTAAAAATACCAACTCAACTGGCTCGCTGGTGTCTGGGTCGGATCCAGCTCACAGAAGCCTGCATGAGCTCCAGAACCGGATGGCGGGCGTCTCTCTCCCTCTCACTAAGAGCTAAACTACATTACGTGAACGGATATTAACGAGTATGAGACAGCTGACAGACGCTCATTAGTATCACAGTTTTTCTCAATGGCTAAAGCACAATTCCTGAAACCTTGCTCCCTTTTCTCAAAACATTAAACACAAAACCTCAGCTTCAAGCAGGATTTACAAAACCTCTCATTCCTCTTGCAAAATCAAATTTTTCGTCTCAAAACAGTTTTAGCTGTGCTCAAAATCAAACACTACTCTCAAATCATAATCAAATTACTCTAAATTACATACACCATCAAGCAGCCAGTAAACAATACACCAAAAAATCGAAAGCACAATGTTCAGAGCCATAAAATTTGTTTATTGTACCATAAACAGCCTGCAGTTAATTGTGCTACAGTGTTCAATGACAATGAAGAAAAATATTACATTAAATGAAAAACAACATAAGACTCAACATGTTATCAATGGGTCTCTTCTTGTCTGTGGGCTGGGTCAGGCCGCAGCACTTCATCGACATCACATGCAACATTTTCCCTCCTGGGGCTCAAATTGGGTTGCACTCTAAGTCCTGCCTCTCTCATTGTCAGCTCATGGACAACAACATGGTCTATGATTGTTGCTCAAATTTCATTGGATATTTCCACTCTTCCTCTTCCTCTTCCTCTTCGTCCTCCTCTTTCCCTTTCTTGCCCGCCTCCTCATCCCCCACCTCGCATACGCACCCGTCCTCTCACATGAATTCTTCTATCCATTGTCACACTTTCTCATTCCTACCTTCAACCACCTGTTTGCTCTCTGAACTTGCTTATATCGGTTGTTACATCATTTGAAACAAGTGAAATCTATTTTGACTGATTGTGTTCAACCAATGACATTTGTGCTCTTGTTATGGGTAAATGTGTCACTGGTGTTTACCATTATGGACGCATGCACATTAGAGTGCAGAATGTGTTTTAAGAATGAGAATGCGTTTAGAGTTTTGCTAAACTGTGTGAAATGATTTAAGGTTTTGACAACAGGCTCAACAGTTAGCTTAATGAGTTCAAGCACCTGAGAACTTTCTTCAGTCAATGGATTTTATTCTCATACCAATTGAGAAAAACTGTAATATTATATTACAGTTTTCACACAAATCCAAAAATACACACACAATGGGCAAAACCCCTCAATTAACCTGCAAAATGAAACTTCACATTCAAAACAGTGTTATTTCTTCTCACAATGTGATTTTGTGGTCAAATGACACACAGACCATCATATGAATAGACATTTATAAGAACCAGCAGAACATTTATGTGCTCAATGTAAAACACTATGATGAATGGAAAACACTTCTTCTCCATTCATCATAATGACTTCCTCCGGATTGAAAGGAGCCAGTTGAGGTGGTTTGGGCATCTGGTCAGGATGCCTCCTGGACGCCTCCCTGGGGAGGTGTTTCTGGCATGTCCTGCTGGCAGGAGGCCCCCGGGTCGACCCAGGACACGTTGGAGAGGTTACATCTCCAATCTGGTCCGGGAACGCCTTGGGGTCCTGCCGGAGGAGCTGGTGGAGGTGGCCGGGGAGAGGACGGTCTGGAGCTCCCTAGGTGGGATGCTGCCCCGGCGACCTGGACCCGGATAAGCGGAGGAAGACGACGACGATGACCTTTTCAATGTTCCCATTTCATCAACTTTCTAAGACATTTCCTGCTTGCTGCTAGTGATCAAACATGGAAACTAAAGGGTAGCGTCCATCTCCTTCATCTGTTCTGCATCAGATCCCATCATCATCTTCATCATCTCTTCTGTTTATTTGGTTGCTAACAACTGTCAGGCAGAAGCCAGGAAGCCAACAGCAACGCCACAACTTCCGAAGTTCAAGAATAAAAGCCCCCAGTCGTCACAGTGTAAGGGCTTTGGTGTCCTGTTTTAGTCTGTTCTGTGTTTTTTATTTATTTATTTTTTGGGTTTTTGCTGTTCATTATTACAGCCTTTTAAGGTTCATACCTAATTACCTTCTTCCCTGCTCTGATTTTGGGTCACAGGAAACAGCCTCAAACATGACAAGAATAAAACTAAACCCAGAGCAACAATAACACTGATTAAACATAAAATCTTACAGCCCCAACCTGGTGGTGATGAGCTACCACAGCTGCCACAGCTGCCACCGGTTCCTCCAACCACCACCAGCAGGAAAGAAGGGTGAAGGGTCTTGCCCAAGGACACATCGACTGGGAAAGACTGACTGAGATTCAAACCTGCAGCCCTCCAGTTACAGGGCAGGCACATAGCTCCTCTGGCACCATCTCCCTTGAGGTGAGATGGAGGCAAGCGGAGTGTCCATGTCCATAGTGAACAGCAGCAGACATGCTATTAACTATAGTTACAATTACTCAGTTACAATTGCATGAGTAACTGTAAAAAGTGTACTTCAGGGAGGTTTGATACATTTTTATGATTTTTTTAGGATGTGGGGGCGTGTTTGTCTCATTAATTCACATTTCTTTGCTATGATCATGCATTTACTCAGTAGTTGAGTTGCTTGTATTCCAAGTTTGTTTTTCTACTCTTGAGTAATTTCAAAGTAATGCTACTCTTAAAAAAGTACAGTTTTTGTTTACTTTGTCAAAGCTAAAATCAGTCAAAATCAGCAGAGCAGCACACCGCATGATGAACTGCACAGATGTTTTATTAGGTGTTTTTTTGGGTAACACAACAATTAGAGTACATTTAGACAAGTACAGGTATTTATCACAAAAACCAAAACATATCACCACAGACATCCTGATTTAACACAGCAGTGGCGTAACCAGCTGGGGCGCCTAAAGTGCTTTTCTCTGCAACAAAACCTTCTCACATCACAAATAATTAGTTCCGCTCTCAGAGATGATTGTAGAACAAATCTGGACCCGTTTGTGTGTTTTAGCCATCTGTAACTCAATGCCAGCGAGAACAACCTGCTGGATAATAAAAGTCCCACCTGGATTTTGTTGCTAACACAGTGTCTTATGCTACTAGCATCAGTGGAAATGGATGGATTTTTCATTATTTTTAAAGTAGAAAAAACAAGTCAAAATAAAAGGGAAACTTAAGTATAAAAATGAGACCGCACTAAAACTTCTGTTAAATAATTTATTAAATTATGTACAACTATTAAATACTCTAAAAGATTATTATAGTCCTCCAAAGACCCAGATGCATGTTCAGTTTTGTAACCTAAAAACAGATTGTTAGTGAATATGTATACAAACAGGAATGAGCATGGTGAGCTTCAACCTCCTTCTAGTTTTCATGTTGATGATTTTTTAAATATTTGTAAAAATCCATTATGTTTTTTCTGAACTTATGTAAATCATGTTGAACCCTGGTGGGTGTCAGGCAATGCATCACAAACTAACTGAAAGTTTTATTCTTTTAAAACTGAACCGACACTTGATGCTCTGGAACAGACTTGCAACAAATCGGACATGATCTCAAATGAAATGCATAAATGAAACGTTTGGTGTTACAAGTTATTGTATGCATACATGCATGAATGTAAGCTTCTTTTGCTCAAATTCTCTGAAATTCTGATTCATTATTATTTTCATTGCATCATGTTGATTTATTTTATATGTCTTATTTGTATGTATGTCTGTATTTATGTATGTATGTAAGTATGTATGTATGCATGTATGTACATGTGTATGTATGTATGTATGTATGTATGCATGTATGTACATGTGTATGTACATGTGTATGTATGTATGTATGTATGTATGTATGTATGTATGCATGTATGTACATGTGTATGTACATGTGTATGTATGTATGTATGTATGTATGTATGTATGTATGTACATGTGTATGTATGTATGTATGTATGCATGTATGTACATGTGTATGTACATGTGTATGTATGTATGTATGTATGTATGTATGTATGCATGTATGTACATGTGTATGTATGTATGTATGTATGTACGTATGTATGTACGTATGTATGTACGTATGTATGTATGTACATGAGTATGCATGTACGTATGTTTGTATGTGTGTGTGTGTGTGTGTCTGTGTGTGTGTGTATTCGTGTATGTATGTACGTGTGTGTGTGTGTGTGTGTGTGTGTGTGCGTGTGCGTGCGTGCGTGCGTGCGTGTGTGTGTGTGTGTGTGTGTGTGTGCGTGTGTGTGTGTGTATGCATGTAAGCTTTTCCGGTCAAACTCTCTGAAATTCTGATTTGTTTTTCTTTTTATTGCATCATATTGATTTATTATGTAAGTTTTATTTGACAAATATACATCAGGGATCTGTTTTCATTGATTTGTCAAAAATGTGTTGCAGAAACAACATGTTACACAGATTATCAGCATATTCTGTTACACACAACCAAATCACTTACAGAGCAGCATTTTCAGCTCAACAGTGAATATTATTTTAAAGCAGGTTTATTATAAACATATCTACATCTGCTGTCTTGCAGGATTGCAGTTGTACTTCACAGATCCCTATAATGTTCTTTATTCACATGGCAGGATAACATGTACATGAAGGACAGAAGACTTCCAATGTCACACTGGATTTGGATGACTAGTGAGGTAACAACAAAGGCTTTGTAGGTTTGGAGAGAAAGCATAGCACACCATGGTAACCAGAATCAAAACTAGAACAAGTTGCCTGAGGAGGCTAAAGGTTGGTTTATGCTTGACGCGTCCGCGAGGTCCGCACGGCTCCGCGCGGAAAAGTAGCATCATTTTGCTTCATTTTAACAACAACGCCCCTCCGCCGCGCCTCCGCACGGCCCAGAATTTCTGCAACGCGCACCTCGGAAAATTTCTAACCACGCGGACGGTCGGACGCGGAAAAACATGGCGGACCGGCAAGATCTAGTATGGCAGAGGTTCGTAAATACAGACATTTGTATGATTCAGCTCTCAGAGATCACCGTGATCAACATGTTGTTAATAATTCTTGGAGAGAAATAGCTCGCACTGTCGGAAAAGACGAGAACGCTGTTAAAAATGCTGGAATGCCATGTTGTAAACAGTAATTTCTACTTCTACTATGGTGTAGTGTTGGATGCATGCCGTAGAGCTCCATGCTGCCCCCTACAGTTTGGGAGAATATTGGCTCACCGCAGAGACGAGCCGCACAAACCATAAACGCTGCGAGTTGTGAAGCGCGTTCCATCCGCGAGCCGCAACACCGCGCGGAAAGTGAATGCGTCAAGCATAAACCAAGCTTTAAACTTAAAACCATCCACCGTGCTGAGGTCTGTAGATCTACAGCAAATAAAACAACAACAACCCACTCTGATGGGCTGCACACACACACACACACACACACACACACACACACACACACACACACACACACACACACACACACACACACACACACACACACACACACAATCTCTGAACCCACTAACAGCTCTTAGTTAACGTCATCTTGGTGTATAAAGCAACACAAATGAGTTTGTAACACTTTAAGTTATTGCTTTGAAACTAGTCAATGATTCTTGAGCCAGAAAGTTAGTTCAGCAACTTCACACTGAACAGCACTCTCGCCCTCAGCTGACCTGAGCAAAGAACAGTTTGGTGGTTCAGGTTAGCGCTCTAGAGGGCGGTACCTGCTTTATAGCAGTTAGCCAACTGTCACTTAAGAGCTCAAGAAGTAATGGTTTAATAATAATGACCTACACTTGTATAGCACCTTCCAGAGTCAGATGACTCCAAAGCATGTTACACTACAGTGAATCATTCATCCATTCACACACACACGTTCACACACTGATGGTGATGAGGTACAGTGTAGCCACAGCTGCCCTGGGGCACACTGACGGAGGCGAGGCTGCCAAGCACAGGCGCCGCTGGTCGCTCCGACCACCACCATTGGGCAGGTGTGCCCAAGGACACAACAGCAGAATTTTCTGTCCGGAGGCGGGATCGAACCTGCAACCTTCTAATTACTGGGCAACCCGCTCACCCTCCTGAGCTACTGCTGCCCCTGTGTCTTTGGAGGTGAAGCAAAGAGTTAAAACCAGAGAGAACAACAGCATGGCCTACACTAGTTTGAGGGAGCTGAAGAAAGCTACAGTATGAAGTCACGGACTGATGGTGACCTGGCTTTGTTGTCACTAGACTTGTAAATAATAACTGTGAGGATCTTTTTACTTCATGGCTCATATGAGTTGGCTTGTGTTAGCGTTAGCTCATTGTCAACGCTACAACAGCCTGCAGCAGGATTGTTTATGAAAGTTGTAATTCGGCTTTCAACCAGTAGGAAGGAAAAGTGAGGAAACCTATAAAGTGTTGCTTTAACACCCTCAGATCGGTGCTAAGCTGCTGGACCTGCGTCTACAGCCCATCACACTCAGCAATAGCTCCCCTCAGGCATGACCCTTAGAGTACTCTTGCTCAACTCAAGACTGCCCCAACACACCCTTTAATCACCTCCAAGTTCACTGATGGCACTACCATAATGGGACTCAAAGCAACGGAGGATGACTCTAAGCAGACTGGATACATGCAGTTTGAAAACATTCTGACTCGGAGTTCAGCAAGAACTAAAGAAATGGTTATTGACTCAGGAGAAACCCAGTCCCATCCTCCATAGAGAAATTTAAACACCACATCTCAGTGTCCAAACCTCAGAAGACTTCTCCTGGAAAGCCAACACCACAGCAGCTGTCTAATGAAGCTCGTCAGTGTCTATATGTCGTCAGAGGGCTCAGCAGGAGGAACGTGGAGAAAAAGCTTCTGAAGGCTACCTACAGAGAGCAGCTTGACGTAATGCATGGTTCCTAGGCTGCTCTGCTCCAGAGACCACCTCCAACACATACATGCTACTGGTCTGTCAAACATGCACAAGTGGCTTCCAAAACCATTTTCTTTTTTACTGCAAAAGGTAAAAAAGGTTTAACGTTTCTAAGGCTTTCTGCTTGTGATAGATTTAAAACAATCTGTGCCCCTGGCAATGGCTGAAGTCAGTAAAACACTCATCACATGAAACAAAACTTCCATTTTATGTCACGGTTTTGCATAATTGATTACACACATCCCGTCCATATGCTGAGTCACGCATACGGGCAGTCTCCAAAATTGGCGCGACGATATCAGTGATGTCATAAGCTCGTGGATGGTGCAAGACACGTGCAATTAACCAAAGGCGGTCGTGTGCTGTGTTGCTTTTGGAGACATCTTGCTCTGCTTTGTCTGTCCTGGCGCAGCTCAAGCGTGGCAGCGCTGTCTGTGTGTGTGTGTGTGTGTGTGTGTGTGTGTGTGTGTGTGTGTGTGTGTGTGTGTGTGTGTGTGTGTGTGTGTGTGTGTGTGTGTGTGTGTGTGTGTGCGTGTGCTCCTCAGACAGAAACACAAATAAAGAGACGGCTTCAGTCAGAGGCGTTTTCTTCACATGATCCAGAATGATAATGAATCGCGCATGCGGGAAGCACCCGCTGGCTGATTTTATCCACCAATCTGAGGCTCCCCCCTAATGGTAGGCGTGAATTTGATCTGGCCAATCAGTCGGCAGTGGGTGTGTTGGACCCCTTCAGCCTGAAGCAGAGCGCCTTGGGAAGAGAGCTTAAATAATGACCAGTTGTGCATCGAAAAAAATCCAGGCTATGCAGATGTGAACGGTAGAGCCGGTGCTGGTGTGGAAGCCTTATAAAAAAATGACTTTTCAGGTGATTTAGCTGCTGTTTAAGAAAATTAGTCACAGATAAAATTATTTTACAAATATTTGGAACTCAGACTGGGCGACGCTCAGGGTGTTCGATACTGAGCAGAGACATGAGATGACCAGAAGATTTAGTTCATCCTCATAACTTTTTCAGACCGTGGTTTCCTAAAATCAGCTTTTTACCAAACTCGCAATTTTCTATTTGATACATCCTAAAAGCCAGAGTTTGGTCCGGACCCCTGACCCCTGACCCCTGACCCAGGAGCCCTGACAGTGACAGCTTAGATGAAGGATGATTATTTCTGATTTACAATCTTTCAGACGTAAATATGTATCCCTTCACACTCACAGTAAAAACATCAGTGTTGTGCGCATTTACCACTAAGATAGATGAGCATTTCCCTTTTCAATACAAAACATGGCGTTTGTGGATGAACTGGCAGTGGCCGGCCTGTGGTTTGATGTGAGCTAATACATGTTCCACTGTATTTTCCACCAGCCGAGTCTTTAAAATAAAAGCTCATGACCGTCAGACATGTTCTACTTTCTACTCGGGAGAAGGGTGAATGACACTGCTTGCTATTAGGGCTACCACCTGCTGACTCATCACAAATGAACAAAACACAGAAAAGTCTCCCCTGCAGACATTTTTCTAGGTTCCACTAACACACCGTCCAATAAAGCATGCCAACTGAACACTGGGACATTAGTTTTGCTCTGAAGTGGGCCAGCTCATGCCCACATCTGATTCTGGCATCCACAAATAGTTTAAATGAATAAATGCCCTTTACACATGGCTCTTGTATATGTATACATATTGCTTCCAGCTTCTTCCCATGAAATTAAAGCAATCACAATAAAATCAACTCCTCCACCAACTCCACCCATCCCTCTCTTCTTTGACCCACCCTCTTACTTCTGGCCATCTTTTTCATTTCCTTTGTTGTGGTGAGATACTGCAGAGGTCACTTCAGGTCAATGTTGTAGAGTTGGGGTTTTCCCTTGCTCTGAAAACAGAATAAAAAAATTTATTGAGACAGTTGGCTTTTGTGATTAATCATCTGTTATCGAAAACGACAAGAGAAAACTGCAGTTTTCATCTAAAGGTGAAGTTTATGTCTGGAAAAACGTACCAGGATTTATTTCTAGACCCTTGCTGTTAGATTTCCAAAGGAAACATCACATTTTGCACAAGTTTGCACTCGCACACATATTGTGAGACCTTTTACTATTATGCTTCTTCGTTGGTGCGTCAGTGTAACAAAGAGATTCTCCTCCAGGACAGCAGGGGGCGCAGACCTTTTCTAACACGTCTGCCCATAGACATGCATGCGTAGACGCCCCATTGGGAGCTGAAGGGCGTAACAGTGCTGTCGCCATATTGGATGGGTCTCCTTACTCTCCAGAATCCATGCAGAGTGAGAAACTATGTCTGTTTTTTGTTCAGCCTACGATTGAAAACCGATCATGTGGGAGGATTTTTCTAGCCTACCTGTTGGGATTTAATATTTTATTTATTTTGTTTAATTATATTTCAATTTTAACTATCATGCCATACAATGTGTGTGATTTTGGGAAAAAGCTTAAATAAATGTGTTTTTTAGTTGTGTAAGCGGCTTCCTCGGTAGAAGTAGTGGGGTCAAACGGAGACCCATCTAAGATGGCGGCCGGACAGGAAGCGCCAGTCCACGGGGCGTCTACGTAAATGATGTCTGTGGATCTGCTTGTCTCTGGTTGACCAGTTTATTTACTTCAGCGTGTAAACGCAAATATCTAGTAGGAGGTGACAATTTAGATTATTGTGTTGATATTGGAATTTGTCATTGTTTCTATTTTGTTAAATAAAGTTATATAAAAAGCTCGTTAACACCAATCCACTCAAGGAGCAAGAGGCCGACAGAGCAAGTCTTCACTGAGCTGGAACTGCTTGATCTTGAGGAAAAAAAACAGTTGATGCTGCTGTTGTTGGGCCAATCACAGACGTGCGCCCTCTGCGGCGTTCGACAGATAGCTAAAAAATGGCCTCTGCTTTGTCTGTGCGTGTGTGACTGTCAGAGAGCCCTTGCATTGATGGATAATGGCACTGCGTGTCTCCACACCTCCACAGATGGAGATGTAAAAACTGGGCTTAAGCCTTTCCAGTAGACCTCTGGAGTCTCGGCCACTTCAGTAAAAGGTGGCTGCAAACGTAGGTCCATGAAAACGGTTTTTATTCATGTGGTGGGACCGTGTCTCCTTTAGCAGGAAGGTCACATGATCGGACAAATACAACCGCTCTGTGTTCAGGTGGAAGCGTTTCACATCTAGTAGTGTTTTTTAAAATGAACTTGTGACTGGTGACCACTTAGCGCTTTTTCTTTTCTTATTTCTTTTCTGTTCTGAACATTTAATTTTTGGAGGCCCCGAGTTTATTTAGTTTTTTTCTGAAATTAGAAACAATAAAATCCAACTGCAAACAAGGAAAGGTGAGTTTATCTGTGACTGCTGCAACAGAAACGATGTTGTTACAGCATCAGGGTAAAAACGTGAACGTTTAACTTACCCTCAGAGATGGCCGAGGAGGCCTAACTGGTCTGACTGGCTGTACTGGTTCTGGTAGAGTGTTCTCCTGCCCTCTGTCCAGGGGCTCCAGGTCATCAGCCACGTCAGGACAACCAATGTATCCTCCAGCATCAAAAACTGATGCCAGATCTCCTTCCAACAGGCTGTGACTGGTCTGAGTGGCGGATATGCTGAAGTCTTGGTCGGACACCGTGTTGCTGAGAGTTTTATTAAGTGTGGCGGGTGAAATGTTGACACGACGGATATGTATGTTACTGAGTTCCAGGTCTTCGGGTGCTGGATCACTCTCTGAGCTGTCATTGCTGGAACATAGGTTGGGTTCTGGTTCAGCAGTGACCTGATTGTTGTTTTCTCTGGGAATGATTTCCTTTTCTAATAGGTCCAGTACCTCCTGGTTGCCCGGGAATTCCTGGCTTTCATCTTTGCAAAACTCCACAAGGGCTTGATTTTCATGGCAATCTAAATCCAACACTTCCTGGTTTTCCGGATGGCAGAAACTCAGCTGTTCCTGATTGCCATGGTCGCAGGTTTCTACCACTTCTTGGTTTTCACAGATAAGAGGTTCCACTAGTTTCTGTTTGCTGGCAGCCGGACAAGAATCCACCACCTCCTGATTTTCATGACTGCTGAAGTCCAGAAAGTCATCGGCCAGCTCATCGTTCTCATAACCAGACGGTTCCGTCACGTTGTGTTTCCCGCCGTTTTTATCATCTGGCAGTTTCTGGAGGCTGTGGTCAATATCCTTTATCACTTCTTGGTTTTCATAAGTGTGAGTTTTTGACACTTCCTGACTCATAAATGGAATGTTTTCTATTTGCTCTTCATTTTCATAAGAACAAAGACCAACTTCCTCTAAGTCATCATGGCCACAAATGTCCAGTACCTCCTGATTCTCTGCGGGACTGAGCTTAAAGCCATAAGGATCAGAGTCACGCACCATTAGAGAGGCTGCGGTGTCAAACCCATAAGGGTCAAAGTTCAGTTCATGTGGTAAAGAAGAGGAAGCTGTTGGATCAAAGCTTGTGACACTTTCAACAGGTTCTGGGCTTAATTCTGATTCATCTGGGTCTAGAAGGATGTGACCGGAATGCTCTGGACTGAGTTTAAACCCATAAGGATCAAAAGAAGACTGACTGACTGCTTCATAGTTTAGCTCCAAACTGCTCTGATCTAAGTCGAGTTCCTTTGATTCACGTCTCAAAGGATGTTGAGACTCAAACAAGTTCTGGGTAGTGGCGTTTAGAGGTTTGTCTGTGATGTCACTAACGTCCATGGTTGCCACGATAAAAAACGAATCACCAGGAAGAGTTGCATCGATGCCATCTGTCCAATCTTGTTCCAGCTGTAAAGGTTCGTTGTGCGGCTGGACCGGCCACGCTGGGTCAGATTCTAGCAGAAGAACACAAAAATACAAATTCAGAAAATGCAAAAACAGTCACCCAATCTTCACTCTTCACAGTGACTGGACTTCTCTTGACATCCACATACAAGACTTGATTTTATGATGTATGATTAAACACACACACACACACACACACACACACACACACACACACACACACACACACACACACACACACACACACACACACACCAAGCCCCCATAATTCGGGTCTGGATATGAAGCAAAAACAGGAAGTGACAAAAATAGCAGTTCCACCCTCATCCACTAGGGGCTGGTGTCAGAAGCGAGCAAATCCTCATTGACTCCCATGTTAAAAATACCAATTTCACAGCAGAAATAAACATGTTTACAGCCTGGTACCAAAACATGTTTTTGGTTTAAATGATCTAGTTTACACTCATGACAACTCTGAGGGGGGTGAATTTTTTTCTCACTCTTCTGTTTAAGTGTATTAAAAGTCTAAAATTCTGTATAATTAATGAGCATCAGACCCACGTGACCACAGAGCTAGCTCCGTGGAAAGGCCTCAGCCTGAGCCTCGGTCTGGCCTGGAAACTGTTCGGTCATTTTCAATCTCTCAACTTAGACCATTAGTTGTAGCATCTGTGGGTTCTTTTAGGATATTTTTTGTGCAATTGTTGGACAAAATGACTTGCTGTGGCATTAATTGCACTAATAGAGCGTCCAAGTAGTCTCCACTTCATTTTTGTCGGTAAGTAAAATTATATTTATGTATTTTATGTCGATGATTTTAGGTCCCTGCCGCTCTTGCACTAGCTGAGCTTAGATTTTAACATGTACTGTTTAACCATGAAATTTAAATGTAATAGGGTAAAACCCAGTGCATTTAACATAATGCTGCACTTTAGAAAATGGGTTGAAATATAACATGTTGGTGGAGCTGGGCTCCGACTATCGGTATGGTCTCCCTCCGCTCAGCAGCAGCTCTGCGCATCTCAGATCGCAGCGGCGCTTGTCTGCTGTGCGGTTGCCGGCTTATGGAGCTCTCGGGAGACCTCTGTGTTCCACCTGGTTTTACCCAGCGGTCAGCCCGGCGTATCTCTGACTCAGAAGCTCTGGTGTTGTGCACAGTTAACTCCGGTTGTAGCTAGGTTGCTACCTCCATTAGCTTAGCTCCCACCTCTGCGTTAGCTTTGGGTTAGCTTGTAGCTACATCTCTTCAGTTCGACGGGTGTCGTCATTTGATCCCAGCCTTACAGCCCCACCCTCAGCTCCACCTCTTTTCCCTTATTTGGAATTGTCTGGGCTTGACGGAACCTGTGACACGGTCAAAATGGCGGTGGTGGCCACCTCCCATTTTGGTTTAAAAACGTATTATTGGAGCCTATGGACACGAATTGTCCAGTATACATGTCGATGACACACACACACACACACACACACACACACACACACACACACACACACACACACACACACACACACACACACACACACACACACACACACACACACACACACACACACACACACACACACACACACACACACACACACACACACACACACACACACACAATACCTTCCTGTGGTCCCATGGCTAGGGTTGCAGTAAAGTTATCCTCTGTGTCAGGAGGAGGGGATGCAGGACAGACTTCCAGCTCATAACCATTGGGGTCGGATTCCACAGAATGTTGACCCTGGGTCTTCCAGACCTGCACGAGTTCTTCGGATGAGCTTTGTATTGGTTTAAATCCACAGAACTCATTTCCTGCAGCAGCCGATTCCAAGTCTTCTCTACTGTAGCTGATTTCTATGTCACTGTCTTCATCTGGGAATTCTGACTCAAAGCACTGAGTTCCTGTTGAAGCTTTGTTTTCAGCACAAGACAAGCTGGTGTCTGCCTCCTCATCAACAACAAGCTCTACTCCTCCAGCGGTGCTCGCTGGTGCCTCTGGAAACAAAACATCTGCCGCAAACGGATTGCTGCCTTTGAACGGGTCTGAAGCAAATGCATCTGGAAAAAATCACAAGTACTCAGAACTTCAGGTTTTTCTAATCTTAAAGTTATGAATTCAAAAATGGGTGTCATTGGTTGCATTTCATTTACGTTAAACGTCACAAGCACGGAAATATTCTTACATGGAAAATGCACGTTTTTACAAATCACACAGATTTTTACTCACCAGATGATTCAGTTGTAGAGAAAATATCTTCACGGAAGAGGTCATCTAGGAAATTAGAAAACAGATTATATGCATTACAAGAACTGGTTAAATGGTCCAAATATCCACTTAGCTCTAGAGGACATTTATTGTGTCTAATACAGGTGAAACTCAAAAAATTATTCTACTTTATAGATGAATATGGGGTGCCATTTGTAAAGTCAAACAGTCATAATCTAACAGCATATCATAAGAGAAAAAATTGGGGGTTCACTTTTTCGAAATCATATTTTCATCATGATATTCATGTTATTCATCGGAGAGGCTAGCCATTAGCGTGCCTAGGCTGGCCACTAGCTGACTAGTGACTCCCTGAGACATGCTAATGGCTAGCCTCTTCGATGCAAATGCCAGCCTATATGCTAATGGTCCGTCGAGGAGGTAGGAAATCCAGCTAGTGGCATGCCTAGGCACGCTAATGGCTAGCCTCTCCAATGCCAACACCAGTCCGTCCAGGCTAACGCTAGCCTATCCATGCTAATAGACAACAGAGGGAGTGTTTGAACGGTTTGAACCAGTCAATGACCAGCCGAGGGCTGCTAGTCCCTAGCGTATCTAGTAGTAACGCCGGTAAAGGTGCTATTCCTCAGTAAGCAGCGCCAGCCTCTCAGTTACCGGCGCCAGCTTATCATTAATCAGGTCGGTAATTTGCTTCGGAATTTATATAGCCTCCTGCTGCTGGGCTGTAGTCTTAATTTTGGCCCCCGTACTGCGCCATACTAAACTAGCACCCTCCCTGCACCCGTCCCCCCTCTCTACTGTCCACTCCTTGTTCTCTCCTCTCCATGATTGATGTCAAGTTGTTGTTATTTTTGTTGTTAATCTCAAGGGCAACATGCCGAATATCACTTGTAAGTCGCTTTGGACAAAAGCGTCTGCTAAATACACAAACAAAAAACCAAAACATAAACAAATCCAGCTGCTGCGGGGATCATCAGTTTTTCTTTTTCCAAAACAAAGGAAGGAGGGACGTAACTACTGTCTACCATCAGTGAGTGTGGGGGTGCCGTGTCTCCTGCGAGCTACTACTGCAGCACCAACAATTGTAATTTGATGACGGCTGGAAAAAAGCTCCAGGGTTGCATTGGTGTAGCATTTAGCCCTCCCATTGTCATCATGGGTGTGACCCCGCCAGGAAAGTTGACCACTGAGCAGGATTGATGGTTTATCCCTCGAGGCCCACGTGGCAGCAGGGGTGAGGAGTGAGCACCACCTCACCCCTGCCACGCAGGGGCGTGTTCAGGGGGTGGCCTGGGGTAGCACATGCCACCCTTGGAATCTGACTGGCCACCCCACTGAATTTCCTTTAAATACTTTTCCACAAAAAGCCTGGGGTCAAAAAGAAAAAGCATAACCATTGGTGCCACCCATGCACAAAGAGGTGCACTACCTGGGCCACCCCATTTTAAAAGATCAGACCACACCACTGCTGCCACGTGGACCTCAAGGGATAAACCATCAATCCTGCTCAGTGGTCAACTTTCCTGGCGGGGTCACACCCATGATGACAGTGGGAGGGTAAAAAGTTCAAATCACAGTGCAGAAGGTTTTTCAATAAGGGGTCACTAATCTCAGGGACATTCAGAGCTTGCACAAAGTGTTGCAGACCAGCTTCTGGCCGTTTCTCTGTGTGAAGGACAAATCTGACATTTCAGTCTTTGTGAAGTACGTTTAGCATTTCCCAGTCACAGCGTTCCAGCTCAGAGTGGGAGAACTTGCAAAGCGTACAGATGTCAGAAGAAATCAGGCCTAAGTAGATACGCACCATCGGTCTGGCAGTGAGTAAATGGGTTGTCCTGGTAGAAGTCCAGTTGGCTAAGGGGTTTGGGGTCAAAAGTAGAACCTTCCTCTCTCTCCTTGGTGTGGATCTCTCTGTCGTCTGGGTCTTCTTCTGTGTCAGATCTGTCCATGTCCTGCTCACAGATGTGACATCACACGTTATAATCCAAAACCAAAAAAGGAAAATTACCAGTAGCCTAAATGTTCTGAAGCAATAATGTGTCACCAGAGCCGGATTAACGCAAAGGCAAAGTAGGCACGTGCCTAGGGCCTGATTGGCTGGATGGGGCCCAGACAGAGGAACAAAATTAAAAATAAATAAATTAAAAATTAAATGTACAAATGTCCTATGATAGAATTTGTAGCTAGGACTCCTACCTACAATTTATTTCAATATTTATTAATTAACTAAAAATAGTGACACTGTTTATCTTAACCATAGACCGTTTCATTGGCTACGTCACATTAAGGCGCCACCCTATTAAGGACGTCAGAGAAGCGGTCAGAGTCAGAGCGGGACACAACAAAGCTAGCAGGTGTTTTTGAGTAGGCTAACTTTCACGATGCTTTCGGGTGCGGCGAAACGTAAAAAAATAAATAAATAAATGAAGAGGAACAAAAGAAGAGACAGCGGGGGGCTTTACAGAAGTTTCTGTCAGGCTGCTCGGGCAGCCGTCCGACAGCTGTGAACCTGCTCGAGTCAGCAGTGCCAGAGGCCGGGCCCAAGTCAGACCCGGAGGAGACACGGCCCGAAGATGCGGTGAAAGATATGGCGGAAGACGCTGTAGTGCCAACGCCGTCAACATCAACGCCTTCACAGAAGGGCGAACTGGAAGAACAGCAGCCAGCCAGAAGTGAGCCCAATATAGTCTTACAGGAGCCTCTAGACCCAGAAAGGGTGTTAACAACTAGCTACCCATCTGATCCTGCAAAGTGGTACCAAACTGATGACACGATGCGTGAGTACTTTGCACTAAACCATCCCTCTCAAAATATTTGATATTCTTCGGCATCACAGAGGAAATCTGGAGACATAAACTGAAGCTTAACCAAGGAACATTTCTTTAGACGTGTTTCTGCTGTGACTGAGGCCTGTGATGCTGGAAGGCTGAAGATTATCCCGGAGCGGAGCATGCTAAATGGTTTCCTTGTTAAGAGTTGCTGGTTTTATTAATTATTTTTCAAGTAATTTTATTAATGTTCATACAGCAAAACAATAAGTCCACACTCAGAAAATTGACACAGAATTTCTGATTCAGCAGAGGCAATAACAGCCTGAATGAGCATAAAGCAAGATCAAAACTTAAGATAACGTTTTCATTTTATTAAAATACTTTCTTTTAAGATTATAGATCGTATTAAATTTATACTGTAATAATTTAAGCTGCGTGTTTATAGTTTGTTTTTGCACCTTTAAGACATGCTTCAGTCCATTCAAATTCATCTATTTATTCTTGAATGTCTTTCCACCATCATGTGATTAATTCGTCAACATTTATAAATGTTGTAAGCTATTGTATTTTGCAGAAAATCTTTTTAATTAAATGTAGTGATTAAATATAAACAGAGCAAATAAGAGACACATATTTGCTCTGTTTACATAGTTTAATGGCACCTAGTGGTTATTTACTGGTACCACCTTGACAATGGCACTCCCGATCGATAAGATGAGGATAATTTATTAGCATTTAATACAGCTGTGTAATGATGTATAAATTAATATAAAAAAATGTCTGATAGAATGTTTAACATACAACACGTGACTTATTTTGGCATACAAACAACCAATTTGTAGCCAAAGACAAGGCTAACTTTGGTAAGTTTCAGATTTCAATTCATTAAATAACATCGATGGAGGGGGGCCCTAAAAATGCAGCCTGCCTAGTGTAGTCCATTTATTTAATTCGTCTCTGTGTGTCACTGTGAACATGCTATCACGTGTTTACACAGCAGGTGTGGCCACAGGTGTACGAGCCTGGCTAAAACAGCTGTGATTGTTCTGTTACCTTTGGAGAGCTGGTCCCACTGTCATCTTCTTCTCTGGTACCTGCTAGATTATTGCAGAAAGTTAAACCATCAGCCCCCTGGTTGAGTCAGACAGAGAAGACCAAAGGAAGAAGACATTTTTAAACTGTAAGCAAATGACAAATGCAACAGTTTAGCTTTCACCCTGTTGGCCATGAGCTGAACTGAAACAAAAGGCCCTCGTTCTCTCTCAAGTCTCTAAATCGGGGTCACGTGTGTGTGTGTGTGTGTGTGTGTGTGTGTTAGGGCCTGCACGACTTTATTTTTTTTAAGTCGACAGTCAAGTAATGAAAGTTGAGTCGACTTCGACTAGTCGTTGATGACGTCATACGCCGGAAGCAGCGGGTGGGGTTGGGGGGGTGGGTCGGTAGGTTCGCTGCATTTTTGACAATTAAAATTGCGCCCACATTTTCTAAGTTAACACATCTCTTTTAACAACGGTAGTTTCTGCATCCTACTTCAGTCCTCCCCCCCCTCCCCCTGCGCAGCAGCCGCAAACTCACTGATGTGCCTGCAGCCTTTCCTGCTGCTCTAAACATTAAAATAATTATTTCATTTTCTGTTCCTCACTTCTGATTACCTTCAATGGTGTCTGTTTGTTGCAACCACCAGGTACATAAACTAACTTGTTTTTATTTGACTATTTTTCTGTCCTGCCTGTTTATTATCTTCCTGCATCTCCTCTCAATCCTAAAGAAAAACTGCTACCTGGGTTCATATATATTCACCTTATGAGTTACCTTTGAGCTACAGTTCTAAAAGATCTACCGACCGCTAAAACAGCGGAGTGCCGCTGCTCGCCGGCCGACTACAACGGGACCGTTTTTGCTGCGGAGTTCATGCCGGAGCGGAGTGGAGATAGTGGAATCTTGGGGGTGCGTCACCGGAGGACAAAACAGGTGATGCGCCTCGCTCCGCAGCAGCAAAACGCATCAGGCACAAATAACAGACAGAAAACATGAAAGGAAATGAGCCGACATGAACGATTGCATGTTTAATTTGTTTTTGAGGTGGTAACACCTGATTTGGTGGTGCTCAGGACGCAATGTCTGGAGCGCGCGTCAACGATCAGAGCTTTGCATGCGCAAACTGGATAAGATTAGGATGGGAGTGAGGGGAAGGTTAAATTGCAAGAGGGAAAAGGTCACAGTTTGGTTAAATGTCTGTTTTACCGCCGGTGTCAGTACCGACGCGCTGGCACAGCGCGTCGCCTTTGCCTCGATCCAGACGCGTAGGGGCTCATCACCTGCTGTCTTTTCCGAGGACTGCATCTTGTCAGTCATTATCACGTGACAGCGACTAGTCGATGACAGGCATAAAAAGTCACTACAGAGCCGTGAAGTCGACTAGTCGACTAGTTCGTACAACCCCTAGTGCACACACAAGCGTGCTGTGAGCTGGTGTTGTGATTTTGCACTGATGTAGCCATCTTTATGCTGACAAAAATGTAACTAAGTAACTTTTACTTTGAGTACATCTTATTTACGATACTTTTTATTTTTACTTGAGTAAAAATTTAGGCAAGTACTTTTACTTGTACTTGAGTAAAAAATGATCAAAGTATTGGTACTCGTGCTTGAGTAGGAAACTTTAGTACTCTTTTTGCCTCTGGCCGCATGACTGTTCATACCGTGCGTGCGGTAGCAACATGTCAGACCTCCAAGTTTGAAAACCCGGAAGACCTGGAGGCTACTGTGTTGTTATTGATGTCTGTTGACCTTTGGGCTTGCCGTAGGACACGAAGGCGTTTGTGGGGATTGGAGGAGAAAGACAAAATAATTAAAGTAAGACAACGTTTTAGGATCTGTTTGATTTGACATAGACACGGCAAACGCGCTTTCTTGACAGTCCTTGTCATTGTGTGTGGAGAAAAGTGTGAAAAAAAAGAAAAATGTGTTGATATGAAATTATCTGGCAAGCCTTGTTGATGCATGCACGGCGTGGGTGGTTCTGGTACTTTTGGGTCGGAGCGTTGCTTCTATTATTATTATTATTATTATGCATATTATTAAACGTGTTAGATATTTGTGTGACGGCATGATTGGTGACTGGGAGCTGGTCATGTGGTGCTATTCTCGTTACCCCCTGTATACTACACGAAGCACAACGCAAAACTCTCCCCGACCTCAAATATTCTCGCATGAGAGGAAATTCGGCTCAAAACGGTAAAAAATAAAATCACACCGCGCACGCCTGGCTTAGTTAATGTCTCAGACAATAAAAACAGGGAAACTTCCCGCCAATCACTTTCTGGCAGTCCCTGTCAGCTCGCATAGCTATAAACACAAAGATCAATACACGAACAAGACCACGACTGGAGTTGGCAGCAACACCAGAGGAGCCAAGCACCAACTGTTGGTTGCTGCAGACTAAAAGACCAACCACAACAATCTGCCTGGAATGATGGGAAAACCTCAGGCTCATGGTAAATGGCCTGTTTTACTATAGCACCTTCTTAGAGTTCTACAACCCCCCAAGGCGCTTCGCAACTCAATCAGTCATTCACCCATTCACACCCAGATTCACACACTGGTGATGATGAGCTATGGTGTAGCCACAGCTGTCCTGAGGCACAGTGACAGGGGCGAGGCATGCCAAACATTGGTGCCATCAGTCCCTTCAACCATCATCAGCTGGTTCAGTGTCTTGCCCAAGGACAGAACAGCAGCATTCTCTGGTGGGAGCCAGGCTCGAACCTGCAACCTTCTGATTTCTGGACAACTCGCTCTACCTCCTGAGCTGCTGCTGTCCCATGGACTCGTGGATCCCAGGGTGGTTAGAAAAGTCCATCATAAGATGGACGCTAGTATCCTTCATCAAGAACTCATTGTGAAGGTGGAAGACAAGTCTGAAGGACAACCCCCTCAGTCAGATCATCTTGAAGAGTGGAGCAACCATCAGTCACCTCTGCTAAGAAGAACATTCCTGTTAGAAATTTAGTCAAAGCAAAACCTTAAATCCTTGAAATCACCATTATGAGGTCAGCATAGGCAGGCAAGGACTGGCTCCTTCCCCACGGCCTCATGGGAAGTGGATCTTCTTCAGTGGTATCTGCAGGAGATGTTGAGCCCTCCACCTGACTTTCTGGAGAAGCTGCACCTCCTGACAAAGAACACAGGGTGTGTTCTTCCTACAAGAAAAAGCAGGAGTAAACAGTCATAATGGGGAGCAGCACATCTGGGTTCTTAAGGTTGGTTTATGCTTGACGCGTCCGCGAGGTCCGCACGGCTCCGCGCGGAAAAGTTGCGTCATTTTTTGTCATTTTAACAACCACGCCCCTCCACCGCGCCTCCGGACGGCCCAGAATTTCCGTAACGTGCACCTCGGAAAATTTCTAACCACGCGGACGGACGCGGAAAAACATGGCGGACCGGCAAGAACTAGTATGGCAGAGGTTCGTAAATACAGACATTTGTATGATTCAGCTCTCAGAGATCACCGTGATCAACATGTTGTTAATAATTCTTGGAGAGAAATAGCTCGCACTGTCGGGAAAGACGAGGACGCTGTTAAAAATGCTGAAATGCCATGTTGTAAACAGTAATTTCTACTTCTACTACGATGCAGTGTTGGATGTTTGCCATAGAGCTCCATGCTGCCCCCTACAGTTTGGGAGAATAGTGGCTCACCACAGAGACGAGCCGCACGAACCATAAACGCTGCGAGTTGTGAAGCGCATTCCATCCGCGAGCCGCATCACCGCGCGGAAAGTGAATGCGTCAAGCATAAACCAAGCTTTAGCTGGAATGCAACGCTCACACATCACTCCACTAACTAGAAAGTTAGCTCTCAGATGATCTTTTCTGTGTTGTTCCCCTACAGTGCGTATATCTTTCAGAGATGGTGCTACCAGTCACTAATCAGTAACTCTTTATGAAAAGACTGATTTTCATTCAGAACTGGCGCTTCAACTTGCAGCCAACAAAGAGGGTGAACAGCATAACTACCTCACCAACCGCGGGCATCAACAGCTGATGGGAAATGGAAATCCACCCACCTCGTTCACTTATTTACAACAAAAAACCCAACGTGTATGATAGGAACCGTGATTTCTATTCCCTTTCTTGGTTCACGTCCTCTCGTTGATGTTTGGTCTATTGTGAGTGAACCCTGGTTGTTAAGTGGAACGGCGTCGGCTTGTTTACTTCACTACAGAGCTTGGATGACTTGACAAGAAGCGAACGCTGAGAAATGTTGTCGTGGCGATGAAGTTTGGGACAGAAGCAGCACTGAGATAGAAAGCATTAAAACGACCAGAGAAGCATTCTGTTTACATCCGTGCTGCAGTAACAGGGTCGCTGCACTCGGTGGCGTCTTCCAAAGAATGTCCTGCAGTCTTGTGTGACACCTCAGTGATCACACCTTCTCACATGACCAGTAAAATGGATCATCAATAGGAGCAAAACTACCGTTGTGAACAGCGTTGGGCAAGTTACTTCAAAACTGTAATGCATTATCATTTTAATGTAATTGATTACATTACAATATTACTGATTTTAAAATGTAAGGCATTACACTATTTTTGCATTACTTTAAGTTACTTTCACCAAAACAATTCAATATGAATCTGGTCATGAGACGCTCAGTGAACTCATGACACATCCAGAGGAAGGTGATGTGTTGTCTGAGCTAGGATTGTTGTTAAAAACAGTCAGATATAATAACAGTTCTTTATTAAATAAAAGCAACAACAATCTGTACTCTCAGCACGCCGCCATCTTATATTAACTGAGCAGCGAGTGAGGTAGTGGGGGCTCCAAGCCTGTATTTGCCTTGGTCCGCAAATGCCTTGATACGGCCCTGAATGTGGGACTGACTTCTGGGGTGATCTGATTCTATCACATGTATAAATATTAAATGCTTATATATTATTGCTTTTCACTGCTAAAAATGTGTATTGGGGATAAATCTACCTACTTTCTTTTTTCTTCTCAAGCACTTTGTTTTGTTTTCTTGATTTTATTTGAATAATTTCCTGCCCTTTCTCTCTCTAACCTTGCTGCATGCTGCATGTTTTCTCCGTCTTCCAGAAAAACTGTTTCCTAGATTTCCTACTTTCTAACTAATCAGCCAAAGGGATCTACTGAACGCAAAATAAAAAAGCTTAATATGCGCTGCGCTCCAGCAGCAATGAGTTGAAATCACTTGGCGAGGGCACAGATTATGAACTCAGCTGAGGCAAAGCACGTCAGAAAAGTACAGAAAGTACAGAGAATATGGGCTGATATGAACGATCGCAAGTGAATTTTTTTGTTTTGGTGGAGCGATTTTGTGAATATAACAGCGGCCGCACGCAGGACGCAGCTGGAGTATTTGAGCCATTACCGCTGCGTACTTATAGAATGCCCGCAAAGCAATGACATCATATACGTGGATACTGGGTCTTTATTTTGGGCTTTCCACAATTGTAATTTTTAGGAAATCCACATCTTGATTCTGGGTTTAAAAATGCATTGTAATTACCGCGTTACTGACAATTGTACCGAGTAAATATTACCATTTTCTTTCCCTGTAATGCCTTACATTACCACATTACAGCAAAAAGCAATGCATTACAGTAATTAATTACTTTTGTACCGCGTTACTCCCAACACTGGTTGTGAACAGAAAAATGATAACAAAAAACCTGTATGATTTGTGACTTGTGTGCATGTGTGTGTGTGTGTGTTAGTGTGTGTGTGTGTGAACAAAAACTGACCTGCAAGATCTCTTCATAGGACTGTCTGATGGAGTCCTTCAGGGGTGTGTTACGTTCTCCCGCCTCTTCCACCTTCAGTTTAGCTTGTTTCACCTCCTCTCTGAGCTTCTTCAGCCTCCACCTGGCTCTGGCAAGTTCTCTTTCATATTCTTCCACCTGACTCTCCTTTTGCACCTCCTCTGCTTGTAGAGACAGGATCTATTAGGGACAAATAATCATATCAGTTAGCATTAATATGAAAACTGACCTTTATACATTCTTAGCGTTTTGAGATCAAACAAAAACAACAGCTGTGGTGTTTTGATAAACCATGTGCAGTGTTGGGGAAGCTAGTCTTATGAATGTAACTTGTGTTTTAAGTAAATCTACAGGCGTTCTCCAAATCCAGTCACTTTTACCGTGAGGTCCATTTGAGCTCAGAATGAACTGAAGAACCGGCTGTTGTTACCTTCTGACTCTCCTCATAGCAGAGCTGTTTGGTGGCTTTAATCTGCTGAATCAGCTTTTCTTTGTGTTTGTCTAATTTCACCAAAGTTTCCTCCAGCTCCCTCCGGTCCGACTGCTGCTCCTCTAACTCCAGGTTCTCCACGGTCACAGCATTCTCCAGCTCCTACGCACACACACGCACACACACACTCAGAATTATTTCTTATAATTGGAGAGCAGAAACGTTTCCCACAGATTGATTCTGTTGTTGAACCTTAGGTGTGGATCTGACTGGTGTGACTGGCTCATTGAACAGAGCAAGTTTTAAGATAATGTCTTCAGAGCTGAGGGTTTTGTAACGTGATGAAGGAGCTATTCCTCCAAGGTTATTTATCCTTTTCCACAGTTGCCTTTGACACCGCGCCAGAGTGCATGAAACAGCCTCAAGGTCATGCATTCGCTTCTAAACTGTTTACTTTCCAGCAATGAATACAGAAGATGAAGAGACTCTTTTCTTTTATTAAACTAAAGAACTCTATTTTCAATAAAGCTAATCAAAACAACTGTTAGTCAATAACACAATGTGACCGATCTGTGAAATCACAATATTATGATTAATATGTTTTAATAAGTAATATGACTTATTATAGTTCACTAGACACACTGACACATGTAAGGAAAACAACCACATGACACATTGCTGTACTGATCCAATCAGAACCTTCCTAGTCTGAAGTGTGGTAGAGTCTCTGTGGTGTTTATAAATCTGTCAGCTTTGATTCGTCCAGAAACAAAAACATCCAGATTAATAAAACAGTAACAAAACAGTTCCAACGCCATCTTAAGTTCAAGTCTCAAGAGCCCATGAAGTTCACCGCATGTTATGTGAAGTAGGACCGGCCATTCTGTACTTCTCTTTTTAAGCTGAGCACCATTCAAGCTGGGAAAAATCTGTTGTTTTGTTGCCAACCAAGCAACGGTACCTTTCAGAATAAAAGCTGAACTCGCTGACCCAAGGAGGGTCCCCTTTTGACGCTGTGAAACACCTGTCGCTTTTTACCTGGAGACTATCCAAAGACTGGTTTGTCGTGCTGTGACGCTGTTCCAACGGCTCCAGTACCAGAGGAGGGTCGTGGACCTGGCATCCGGATCTGTGCGGAGGTCTCACTGAGGGTATGTGGATGCGACATAAATGGCGTCTCATGTGTTTATGACTACGAGTCTCAAACTCTGATCAGTTAGGAGCAAAACATCATCTCCCACTCAGACTTTGGTTCTCCGGATATGAGGGTTCTGAATTTGACACTCATTCACACACACACACACACACACACACACACACACACACACACACACACACACACACACACACACACACACACACACACACACACACACACACACACACACACACACACACACCAACCACCTCACACCTCATTCAAACAGAACATCCTTCATTAGAGAGTTAGTCTTGTTAAATAGTTTAAAATTATTTAGTAATAAATTTCCTTAAACGTTTGAAAGTCTCTCTCTTCTTTTGTCTCTCAGTTAATACAAGGTGTTATCTAAATCCCTGCAATAAAAAGATCCAATCTTCTGATTTAAATAACCCAGTGTCCATAAGATGGAATTCATACTCGATATAAATTTTTAATCTCTTATGGTCATTAATTAAATGTAATTAACACTCATTACAGTTTTATTTGTTCTACTAAGAAGGATAATTTCTTTTCCAACAGAATACACCTTAGTGTTACCAGATGTGTTTTAAACATTCTGTAGATTTCTGTTTGGTCACTTTTATTTTATTTTATTTTTTACAGGAGAAAAAAAAAGGTCCAAGTATGTTAAAGTCTGGTGCAAAGTATTTTTTATGTTTAATGCTTTAACTCTTTACTACTCTGCTGCTGATCTCGACTCCAGTGGAGAAGTGGTGTCCGGGGACTTTGGGTTGGACTCTCCAATCTCTAGAACTGAGGTCACTGAGTTGATCAAAAAGCTTCTCAAGGCTGGATCTTGTAGGGCTGGGGTGGTTCATGCGGTTCTGCAATATTGCGTGGACATCGGGGGCAGTTCCACTGGATTGGCAGACCAAGGTGGTGGTCCCCTTATTTAAAAAGGAGGACCGCAGTGTGTGTTCCAACTACGCTCCTAAACCTCCCTGGTAAGGTCTGTTCAGGGGTTCTGGAGAGGAGGGTCCTTCAGATAGCTGAATCTTGGATTCAGGAGGAACAATGTGGCTTTTGTCCTGGCTGTGGAACAGTGGACCAGCTCTATACCCTTAGGGGGTCCTGGAGGGTGAGTGCGAGTTTGCCCAACCAATCTACCTCGGGAGGCCCTGTAGGAGTACTCTGAGAGTATGGGGTACCAGGCCCTTTGACATGGGTTGTTAGGTCCCTGTTTGACCAATGCCAGAGCTTGGTCTGCATTGCCGGCAGTGAGTTAAGCTCAGCCATGACTGCCCTTTATCACCAATTCTGTTCATAACCTTTATGGACAGGATTTCTAGGCGCAGCCAGGGTGTTGAGGGTGTAATGTCCAGAAATGGTCAGTTTTCACCTACAGATTGACCTACATGCAGAGGCGGTTTTACCATTAGGCATAGGTCGGCGGCTGCCTGGGGACTGCTTGTGTTGGGGGGCCCCCTAGCCCTGACCGCCGGCACCCCTCTATTAATGCCACAATATTCTTATTACCAAACTGTCACCGCAGACGGGATTGGACATGCTTCTCATTACCATAATTCCTGAACCGTTCAAGATATCATTAAAATTCCAAAAGTGCTGAAAAGATTAAAAATGGGGCGTTTCGTGCATACCGTAAATCCTCTAATATTAGCCTGTATTTAATTAACTGCCGGGTATCATATTTTGGCCGGTGTCGGAGTCGGCGGAGGTGAATAATGGCCGGGTTTTTATTGTGGCCGGGTGGAATGTGGTAACAAGCAAGTACGGGGGCGGTTGTGTCATCGTCTCACTTTTGATTTGCCAGTGATAGACCGCAAAGGTAACTTTAACCGTGCGGAGACGAAGAGGAGGCGAAAATTTGACATCAAGTTAAAAGAGAACGTGCTGATTATGCTGCAGAACACTCTAGGGAGCAGTAGGGGTTGTATGAACTAGTCACTAGTCGACTTCACCGCTCTATAGTGACTTTTTATGCCTGTCATCAACTAGTCGCTGCCACGTGATAATGACCGGCAAGATGCAGTCCACAGAAAAGACAGCAGCCTGCTGTCAGCTCCTGCGCGTTGGGAAGCAACGCGCTGTGCCAGAGCGTCGGTACTGACACCCGCCGTAAAACGGACATTTAACCAAATTGTGACGTTTACCCTCTTGCAATTTAACCTTCCCCTCACCCCCATCCTAACCTTAACCAGCTTGCGCATGCAAAGCTCTGATTGTTGACACGCTCCAGACATCTGCATCCTGAGCACGGCCACAGTAACATGATCAAATCAGGTGTCGCCACCTCAAAAACTAATTCAACACGCGATTGTTCATGTTGGCTCATTTCCTTTTATGTTTTCTGTCTTTTATTCTTTTATTTGTGCCTGATGCTTTTCGCTGCTGTGGATCGGGGCGCATCACCTGTTTTGTCCTCGGTGACGCACCTAACTGATGTGGCCGGCGAGCAGCGGCACTCCGCTGTTTTTGCGGTCGGTAGATCTTTTAGAACTGCAGTTCAAAGGTAACTCATAAGGTGAATATATATGAACCCAGGTAGCAGGTTTTCTTTAGGATTGAGAGGAGATGCAGGAAGATAATAAACAGACAGGAAAGAAAAATAGTCAAATAAAAACAAGTTCGTTTTTGTACCTGGTGGTTGCAACAAACAGACACCATTGAAGGTAATCAGAAGTGAGGAACAGAAAATGAAATAATTATTTTAATGTTTAGAGCAGCAGGAACTCTGAGAGGATGCAGACGCATCAGTGAGTTTGTGGCCGCTGCGCAGGGGGAGAGGGCTGAAGCAGAAACTACCGTTGTTAAAAGAAATGTGTTTAACTTTGAAAATGTGGGCGCAATTTTAATTGTCAAAAACTCCAGCGAACCATTAGTTCATTTTGCTCAAATAGAAATTGAGGCCTGCCTCTAATTCTGGTCCTCCTTCCAATAAAGGCCTGGAGCTTGATGAGCTTGAGTCAAATACAGGCCCAGGCCTGTATTAGAGGATTTACGGTATACAATGCATTATGGTAGCCACCGGGATTTCCTGTCTTGAGCGCAACAAATCACAACACAGATTCAAAGACGTGCTGAGTTTGTCATCCAAAATGCTCCGTTTTATAACTGTTGAATGGCTGATCAGGTTCAAATAATTCCAACGGTTCCTAAAAGTAGCCTACATTAAAGCAGCTTTCCATTGATCTATAGCATGAAGCAATCAGAGTTATGGACAATATCGCTACAAGGGGAAATCCTGCTGTTCAGCCTGATTGAAACGGAGCACAGCGCCGCGGTGAAAGCGGATAACGGAACGGGGAAGCTAATTAGCATAAAAAGCCGGCATGAAATTATGGAAATGCCTCAAAGAAAATCAACACGATCCATTAGGTGTCCCAGAAGGCTTAAATCTGAAGACAGTGACCACGAAGAAGGACATATCTCTGGTGAACTAGGATATGAATGTTTGTTCAGTCTTTATTTTTTTATTTTTTTTTTTATTTGAACAACCCTCAACTATTTGCTAATTGTAAGATTCAGCTTCATTCCAGCATTATTTATCTTTTTACAATAAATAGTTATTTTTGCTAAAAGAAAAGTTTTTGGTATAGCAGTGCACGGTGTGCGAGAGAAGCATCCCATGGCAGTGTGAGGTGTGCAGGACTCTGCCTGCAGCTGGAGAGAAGCTGCTTCAAGGTCTACCACATCAAATAAAAACGTCTGAAAGTTTACAAAATAAATGGTCCTAAAAACAGCTAAAAAAAATGATACCAAGGCTCAAACTTTTTTAAAAATAGATGCATTACAGATCAAAGTTTACATTGTTTGCCGAGTAATTTAGAAGTTCCTGTTCAGTAATAAATGTAAAAAATCCAAATCCGTTTTTTTCTTTTTTCACTTTTAAGCTGATTTTTAAAGGCTTTAATAGAAATAAATTCTAAGTACAAACCATACACTGAAAGCTGAGGTTGTTCTGAAAAAAGGAGAAGAGTTACACCCACTTTGTACTTTTGATTACAATTTTACAGCCATCAGATTAAAAAAATACCAGGCAGCCCTGTTATAATTATGGTCATAAGAGGATTATGAAGATGGTGATGCACAAACTGGAAGTGATTGGTTGTCATTCCACTCCAATCCAGTTGGTGGCAGTAATGCACCAAATTGTTGTTTTCCAAGTGCCATAAGACCACAAATAATAATAATAAGAGAGGCGGGAGTGTTCGTAACAAACTCAAAGCGATAGTCAAAACATTAAGCATGACATGGAGTTATCCTAGTGGCTCCAATAAGAGAAAGAAGCAGCTTGCTTCATAAAAGCTTTTATCTTCAGTTCTGAAGGCGACGTCGTTTTTTGATATAAACATCAAAAGGAAGCAGAAAGGAAAGACAAAGGAAAATGTTTAAAGGGAGGAAAACATAGACCATAGATCTGTTTTGGTGGCCTAAGGATCGGGTCTCTGCTTTTTGCAGACGATGTGGTCCTGTTGGCTTCATCAGAACGTGATCTCTGGCTTTTGCTGGAGCGGTTCACGTGCAAGTGTCAAGCAGCTGCGATGAGAATCAGCTCCTCTAAGGTAGAATGCCTTCTCTGAGTCAGGGATGAGGTTCTGCCTCAAGTGGAGGAGTTTAAGTATCTCTGGGCCTTGATCAAAAGGGATGGAGCATGAGATCGATAGGCGGATTGGTGCTGCAACTTCAGTGTTGTGGGTGTTGTACCGGTCTGTTGTTGTGAAGAGAGAGCTGAGCTGGAAGCCAAAGCTCTCAATTTACCAGTCGATCTACGTTCCTACCCTCACTTATGGTCACGAGCTATGGGTAGTGACCGAAAGAACGAGATAGCAGATACAAGTGGCCAAAATAAGTTTTCTCCGCAGGGTGGCTGAACTCTCCCATAGAGATAGGGTGAGAAGCTTGATTATCTGGGAGGGGCTCTGACTAGACCCGCTGCTCCTCCACATCGAGAGGAGCCAGTTGAGGTGGCTCTCTTCTACTACTTCAGCTAAATTACCAACACTATTACTAATTATACTTCTTCTGCCACTTCTCATCAGCTCAGTGACCTAGTGGTAGAGTGTCCGCCCTGAGCCTGGGAGATCAGGGTTCGATTCCTGGTCGGGTCATACCAAAGACTTTGAAAAAATGGGACCCAATGCCTTCCTGCTTGACACTCAGCATTAAGGGGTTGGATTGGGGGGTTAAACCACCAAATAGTTCTTGAGCGCGGCTATGTCTGCAGCTCACCGCTCCCCCTGGGGATGGGTCAAATGCGGAGAACAAATTTCGCACACACATCGTGTGTGACAACCAATGGGACTTTGACTTCAACTTCTATTCTACAGTAAATTATGCAATTCATTTACATCATTTTACTGCTAATGCATTCTATGATTTTATTTACTTGGACCTCTGAACCAAACTACCACCTGCAACCACAATGAATGCTCCGAAAATTTCAGCTGAAATGTGAGACAGCGAGTAAACCAGTCATGTAACCTATCTGTCACTGGTGACAGTTTTGTGCAAGTTTTGAGTCCGGGCTTTAGCTCCCTTGATGCTCAAAGCCTCGGCTTCAAACATCACATCACCACTTATCAGATGTTACCCACCTATCAGCCGCGTCTTCAGTGGCACCACAAAAAAACGAAGACAAAGTTCTTGGCCAAACTCAATTATCTATAGGAAAACTGACTGCAAATGTGTACATATTCCCTTGTAGAGTCTTTTCATTTGGAAACCAAACTATTTTTGCATAAACACCGACTCAGAAATAACCAAATTACACACAAGCTAGTAAATTTGAAATAAAACACACGTTTGGTAGTTATTAAGTCTCAATAAACACTTTAAAATCTTTTTATTACTTGAAATGTCATACATTCAGGAGTTTTTGAAATAAAAATCTGTAAGTGTTTGAATCTTTTAAATATTTCTGATACATGTTTTCTTGTTGTTTACTCTTGATTCCTATTTTTTATTCCAGCTCTTTGCTTCTGCAATGAATAGCATTGCTGCCGTGACACCCAAATGGCCAAACTGAGTGAACTTTTGTTCTATTTCCATTTATTTATAGCCTTTCAAGTTTATTTTTTTAAAAACAGGAAATCCTTTTCACAGCAACAACAAAAGCCAAAGAATAATAAATTATTTCAACGACAATGAAATATCACAGCTATTAACGTTTATGCCTTTGAGTAGAAAAAGTGCGTCAAAACCGCAACTATTCAAGCTCCGTTTGCTCCAGTCTGATTTACTCGTATGCCCAATGGTTCCAGCCAGATTCCTGCATCTCTGAGCGTGGCTCTGAGCTGTGATCACACAGGTATGTGCTGCCTAGCATGGAGAGCTTTGAGCAGCTAGCCTGGACTTAGGTCAATGAGTCGGGGAGGAACGATAAAAACTGCAGCAGCCACAGCCACGCTTTGACCTGACTGAGCGTGTCACTGGAGTTCAATCGGCTTCGTCGGGAGGTTGGTTGGTGTGCTTTCCACGTCAACCACGAACA